GTAAATCAATTCTAATTTTCAACCACACATTTTTCAATAAAATAATATTTTCTATCACATCAATAATCTTATCTACTTTTTCAACCACACATTTCCCATCATATCACTATTCAAAATCAGTTCTTCCCCCAAAAATCTCTCCCAAACAAGCTCTAAAAGAATAACATTTTAAATTATATATATATATATATAACCAAAAATGATATTAAATATTTTTAATTACAACTTAATATTTTTCATAGAGAATAGGAAGGAACGATAAAAGAGGAAAAAAGAAAAAATATAATATGTAGAAAAAAGAAATAATTGCAGAATTGTTGGGTTATTTGGCCCTGTCGTTGGGTTTCCTTGGCTTGAAACATGTTGTGGTGTTGCTGATAGTATTTAACATGCTTGGTACCAATGGGTTTATATGACAATGACATTTCACATAAAATCTGAACTCTTGTTACTACTAAAGGACTTGTACACAACGACATGAGGATCTATAATCTTCAATGCTTGAGACAGAGAATAAGAGCCCCTCCAAAAATTAGAATTACGTGACAACTAGTTCATTATATATTCAATTTATTTTATTGGAATTAAGGAAAAAAAATCATTGTGGTAGGAATTTGTTGGTCGTGTTGAGAATACGTGTTTGATTGGTCATGTTTAAACATCATTTTTAAAAGAAGTATCTAAAATAGGAGATGTAAAGACATGCGTGGAACCCACAATTTATGCATTTTGAGCCGAAAAAGTAGTGCTCCACAAATGCTTATAAGCTATGATATATGCATACCCAAACATGGTGCAAAATGAACTTCGATAAAGCCCCAACACCCAATTTTTCTTCTTTAGAGAGTACATAAACCATTAAGGAGAGTGGCAATTTGCCTCCACAGGTGGGAATTAGTGAATGTATCATCGTCGCATTGGTCATTAATATTAGAAAATGAAGCTATTCTATTTTTGTGAGAAATTGCTCTCGTGTTTTGCCATTTTATTTTTATTTTTGTCAAGGTAAATATTGAGTTAGAAGAAACCTCCTATGTAATTCCGGCTACCCACTCATCATATTCTTTAATCAGAACGGTAGAGACAGACAGAAGCACTAACAGGGTACACATTGTTAAAGATTGAAATGTATGCTTTGCAGTTGAGGGGCCTCTGCTGCATTGTGTATAGTTCAAGGATCGAATATGTTTTTAGCTAATGAGTTGTACGAAATTAACTGTATTGTAAGAACTTATCTAAGAGACTCTTTATTTTGAAAGATCATATTTTACAATTTAGTGAGTAAAAATTTCTAAATACTCCAACAGCTTCTTCATTTTACTACTACAAATATATATTTATTATTTTTTCATTTCATTTAGTTTCACCAACTTTCCTTCAAATTATTATATTATTGAATAATGTACTTATAGATAATAGAGTTATATAATGATTTTCGTGTAGATGAGATCTCAAAAAAAGAGTGATGACTTTTTTTTTTTTTATTTGATTGAAGAAATTCCGACTCAATAATATCTCACAACATCATATATAATGGTTTACATACGCATGATGTGATGAGATATGACCCAGTCAGAATTTCTTCAATCAAATAAAAAAACAAAATTCTCACTCTCTTTTTGATGTCTCATCTGTATGTAAATCATTATGTAACTCGTTATGTTCAAGTAACATTATTATTTGACCAATATATGGAACATTGTGAATTGAAAATTTTGAATGCATTTAATTATAGAGTGAATTTGGCTTCCAAATTTAGAGAGTCAAATTCACTATCTATTTTAAAATGTTAATTTGAAGAATTTTTTGAAACATAATTTTAAGATTCGACTACAAGCTAACAAAAAGTACATGATGTACAGTGACTACAAATAATATGAGGAACTCCTACTATATCATGCACTTACATATATTTCTTTACATTATCTACAACACAAATTTCCAACATATACATCTACCCATTAGCCATTAATCACACGACGAGTTTACATTAAAACAAACTATAAAATCATTTGGCGAAAAAAAAAAAATGAAATTCCTTTTGTTAAATAGCAAAACACAACAAAATATAGCGCTAGATAAATTTTTTAATTGTAGATCATCTTCTTCCCTAAATCAATGCTTGCGAAATGCGCACAAGTAATGTTTTAATGTGGGATCATATTTCTTATTTAGCCCCACTGGTGGTAAAACATCAATTTAGATGGTACTAATGTGACATTAAATGATAAGTACAATTAAATGAGTCACTTAATTCCACATTTCATTGAGATAGCATTATTCTATAAAAAAAGTTGTGCATGCGTTTGATGGGGGACTAAATCATGTATGGGGGCCATTGCTTATTAATTACCGTAATTTTTTACTATTTTGAGTTTTCGATGTGTTTTTCAAATATTTTAGCCAATTCTTATCAAAAAAAAAATATTTTAGCCAATGTTTGACAATCATTATTTGAAAATTCTTTTTTCTACGTACTTATTTTCAACTATACATTTACACAATAAAATATTCTGTACGTAAATACAAAATTTTTCCATTCTTTTTAATCACATATTCTATTAAAAATTATTATTCAAAACATTATTTTGACCAAATAATGACCATGAAACAGGAGCTTAGTATTTGTAGAGGTTCACCTACACTTACTAATGTTTGTTACATTCTCCTTTATACTTAAATGAATATTATTATAAATATGTTCACAATAATAGAAATAATAGTCAATTTTTCCGAATTTTGCCATCTTATATCAATTTAATAAATGCCTTTTTCCTCTCCTTTTTTTCCATGGCATGGAGGAAGGGATACATCGAGCTAGAAAAAAATTGTGGTCGACCAGAAACTAGCTGTGTTATGTTCCCGTTGCCTGTTTTCTGATGATAATAGATCTTAAGAGTTCATTGGCTGGTATGGAAACCACATAAAAAAACCTAGTCATTGTTAATTTGNGTGAGATAGAGTTTGAATTCCTGTGGAAATTCTGGTAATTCTTTCCTGTACTCCAAGTTTTATTCTTGTTACATTCTCCTTTATACTTAAATGAATATTATTATAAATATGTTCACAATAATAGAAATAATAGTCAATTTTTCCGAATTTTGCCATCTTATATCAATTTAATAAATGCTTTTTTCCTCTCCTTTTTTTCCATGGCATGGGAGGAAGGGATACATCGAGCTAGAAAAAGGTTGTGGTCGACCAGAAACTAGCTGTGTTATGTTCCCGTTGCCTGTTTTCTGATGATAATAGATCTTAAGAGTTCATTGGCTGGGCATTGAGTTTGGAATTTGATATGGAAACCATATAAAAAACCTAGTCATTGTTAATTTG